TAAAAGGATCGGACATTCGTCCCGGTGCATCCTACGTAACGTGCAGCCGCCGCCGGAGCGAACGCGAGAACCGCGATACGCTCCGTATCGCAGCAGCCAATCGGTAATTTTTACGAAACAATCAGCTCGGACGATTGACTCGTGTGACTGCCTTTGTGAGGCAATGGAATCTACACATGACATCAGGTTCTCAGAAACATCGTAAAGTTAATATAAAATATAATATCACTACAATTGCTATTCATTGCGTAAATGTGTTATTTTCATCTTAATCTTAAAGTTACGAGAGGGTCTGGGATCTCGGAATGTTAAGAGGAAAATTTGCTAGGAGATTTTTCGTTCTCGTAACTTCACAATGTTTCTGTCGATGGTTTACGAGTCGAAGTTAATGTTAAGACTAATGTTAAAGCTCATTTTGTGTCTGACAATGGGCCCCAGGGTTTCGACAATGTCACATATCACATCCTGTGCTGTACATGCGACCAACCGTCGTGCCTTACAAGGTTGAATGAGTGCTATATATGCTGGCACGTTCTCATCTGACTCGCAGGAAATACAAGCCAGGGTTCAATTTAAGTTCAAAGTCACGAGCAAACCTAAGCCGACCTGCATGGAAAGTGGGTCACGAACTGAATTCGAGCCAAAGATAATTACTCAAACCGGACGATAAAAATGTGACGGCAGCGTGAACGTCAGAGCTATAAAAGGAAATGTGTGGAATATTCCTGTCACGCGCAACGTGACCTGAATATCATCGCATCACAGACCACATTTTCACTAAATCATTAAAGTAAATCAATGCAAATAAAATTCGCTATTAAACAATTTAGAGAAACGAAATAAACATTCTAAAAAGCACTCTACTCAGACCCGTGTATTTTGCGCATCGTGTGATTATATAAAGTCTAGCACTGCCGATCCACAAAATGCAAATGTACAGCTCAGAGCTCTATCTATTTTATTCTACGTGCAGATGAGATAGTGCTAAAAATTCTCAAGTTTTCACACCCACTTTGAGGAAATACTTTAGATTTTTAATTTTAATTATTGAAACAGGGCTATAAAAATTTACCCCTTGTTAAATAAGACGAAAAAGATGCAGAATACTGACAGATCTATGATACACACATAAAGATGTGTGCACAGCACCGCGCGATTGCAAATTTATTCACAGGTACACGCAACGATAAATGTCGAACCTGTGATAAATGTTGTACCCTCGTTCAACGACGAATTAACATATTATAGCTCTGCATACATACATGTCGTTATACAATACGTATTTAAATGCGTAGTTCATTCACACGGGCCAAAGCAATTTCATGTAGGCGTTTTCAAGTTTAGACGTCGAGTTATATCCTGAGACTCAGGGCCGTACGCAGCGGGAGGGGGGGGGGCAGCAGGGGCAGTTGCCCCCCCTAGAGATTTTCAGAGTATGCCTTTTAATGGGACAAATAGAGCAATAGAGGGCGTGGGGAGTACCTTTGCCCCCCCTACAGAAAATTTCCTGCGTATTTGCCCCCCTACAGAAAATTTCCTGCGTACGGCCTTGATCCTGACAAAACTGCAATTGAGTGCAGCTCACATATATCCTATCCTAAAATTATGGACACTCCCCCATGAATCATATATAATGCACAGAATTGTGCAAGAATAATTCAAACCTGTACATTGCCCTGTAGCACACATGTATATATTAGAAAAGAATGAGATGAGCAACGTGTACTTACACACGTTATGCATCTGAATACAATAAAGAGGCTTAGCTTACATAATCATCTCAAAATGGTAACTCTTCACAGTCCAAAGGACTAGTATAAAGATCATCCAACATTGATCAAATCGGTAGATGATATCATAAAGTAGAGCAAAATTGTGCATCATTGTCTGGTATCACGTGAATGTGTAGGTACATAATTTCATCATAAATGAGATTTTGTATGGTGTACACTGTACAGTGACTATGACTCAGACCAATTATGGATATAATCATGCTCTTGATATAATTACCATTATGTGCTGTAGCAGCTGAGCAAAGTGAAATTTAGGCTTAGAGATTTTGTTCACACTCATGGTAAAGGTCCTTTACTAAAGGAAACTACACATGGATAAAGAACTCTGGACAGCGAAGGTGCAAATGATATGTAATCATAATTATCATATATATGTATTATGTAATTATATGTTTTATATTGAATCAAGCTATAATTTTGCACAGATAATATTGTTACGTAGATAAAGAAAATACAGTGGTTGCCACTTTATCAGGAAAGAGGGGAACCGCATAAATGTCCCGATTAAGCAGTGTATGCATAGAAACGTGCATAATATTTGTTTTTCAAAGGCATTTATCGTTTAAAGCCGCACAATGCGCATCCAAACGCTAATTTCTCCAGTACTAGACTAGCAAATACTTCGTGTCATGCATAATCACACTACCTTATGACAAAATAAACTCTAGTTCCTCCCATTTGACTGCGCGTTCCCAACAAGAAAGAGGTGCGAAATCAGGTAATCAGGCGCCAACGCTAAATTGTTTCAAACAACATAACATCGAAGTGGTGACGTGACGTCACATGTTTTTATCTTTGCTGCGCCCGTACCGCTGTACCGCGGCACCGCTGCACGGTTGCTTGGAGATTGGGGAAACTGTACACAACATCGAAGAATTTCAACAACATTGGAGGTATTTTCAAAATACCTTTTATAAGACAACGCGCAGTGAAATGGGAGGAACTAGAGTTTATTTTGCCATAAGGTAGTATGATTATGCATGACACGAAGTATTTGCTAGTCTAGTACTGGAGAAATTAGCGTTTGGATGCGCATTGTGCGGCTTTAAGGAATGTGCTTGTAACCATGGCCCCTGGACGATTGTGTGATGTGTGTGTGATGTACTCTTGCTGTACCAACGGTGCAATCAGTCTCATGCAATGTAATTATCTTGTAATCTCGTAACGGCAGGAGTTAATAATAGCAATGTTATCATTATTAATTCCTGGTAACGGTAACTCCTCAGCGACTGAACACCTATACATAGAGACACAGGTCGGCATCGATCAGATTGTTAGATCAATGCATTGAACAACAGCAGATAAAGGTTTTAATGTCACAGGCGGCCTAATTCTAATTTAGCAACCCCAGAGTTTCTTCTGAGGGAAAATTAGACAAAGGAGGTAATGGCCAGTTGGGCCGGCATGTAATGGCTCATAGGGTCTATGTCTCCCTGGGTACTGCCGGAACGTACCCTGGTAACTATCTAATTAACCGAACTGTACCTCGCCTACTCCAAACCGTACCCAGTTTTCAGCCCCCTCGACCGACTGTTGGCAGGAAGCGTACCTCTTTACGGCAATAGTCTAGGATTGTTTCCGGTACATGTGGTGCATTTCCCGCGCGACCGATTGTTATTGTTTACATTACATCTGCAGCATAGAGTGAATTTAGTACGACTCTGCTTATAATTTTATCCAACGTTTCCAACCCATTAAGGTAATCATACAAATTTTCCTGTTCCACTTGTACCACTTGCCGCCATCTTTCAAAAATGTCGCATACGCAGTGTACACATGCGCGAAAACGTCGTAAACATTACGAAAAGAAAACGCATTCCCGATCATCGCGATATTTGCAAAAGGATTGCGCGCATCAGTGTATATATAGGTTAAAATTTCTTCCTGGTTTCACAATTTCATACTCCAATCCAACTTTATAAAGATATAAAGATTGGCGGTATGTATGTATATTTCAAATGTTGCGACATCAGTAGTGGACGGAACAGGAACAGTCAGGGTACGGTGGGGAGTAAGCAAGGTACTGTCCGGCATATCAGATAGTTACCAGGGTACGTTCCGGCAGTACCCAGGGAGACATAGACCCTATCAGCGCCAGTTTGGGGGAAAATGCGTATGATGGATTCAAATACAGGATGTATTGACATACTTATAGGTATATAGATACAGGATATACATATCAGTAAATACATGAACATTTGACAACGGCGATGTTAAATTTGACAACGGCGGTGCGCCACTATGCCTCCTATGTATAAGAAACCCTGAACCCAGTTTAGTTTAGGACATAAATTTGCAAAAATGAGGGTCGGGGTCCCACACTAGAAATGTGTGTAGTTTGAGAACCCTGTATATATATACCTCCTATAGTTCACATATATATATGCTAAACTAATCTAGGGTGCTAAACTAGGAATGGGCTTCATTGTGCACTTGAACAGTGTAGGTATTGCTGTGAGTGAGAATCACAGGTTACCATAGACAATGGGAGCAAGCTCCAGTCAGGAATCACAGACACAAAGAAACCAAATGGGTCCTGATCAAGGATAGTTTTGGAACCCCGCAAAAGTATCGCATATGTGCTAAACTAATCCGGAGTGCCAAACTAGGCTTGGGCCATGAGTCCTTTGAGGAATTGTGTGACGAATTCTTTTACTAACGCCTGCTATGGCACTGTAAACAAGTCTTAGGTGTTAATGCTGCAACAATGTCAGACTGTTGTTGTACTTGTACTTGTATTGTGGCTATTATTCTTACGACATGCAACGTGCATGCGCATGCGTTGCGTACAGTGAAAAAAATACACGGGGGCTCGGCGCGATTTAGCCCCCGAAATGCCAAAAAGAGCCCCTGAAATGCCAAAAAGAGCCCCCATAAATTTGCATAGAGTTCAATGCAAACCAAATTTTAGAGTGCTATTTTCATCCACGCGAGGTTGAAAAGTAGCACCCGAAAAATAAATTATATTTTTTTCCCTGGTTGCGTATGTCGTTATACACCATAGATTGTTTTTGTAAGATATAATACGTATATAAGGAAATCGAGTCGGTTTATTGTTAGTGTTCGGGTTCGGGTTATGGAGTAGGCGACTCCCTAAACTAGCATTATAATTTATATTACTATTAAGGTCTATTAACTATTAATTATGCGCATGCGCGTTGCATGTCGTAAGAATAGTCCATAAAGAATTCTTACGACTGGTCGTAAGACTAAGAATAGCCACGGCCTAAAAAAATACCTGTATGCTAAACTCATGCACTCGAACAACTTTGCGAGCGACGCGTCTATAGTCTTCGCCTTGACGAATCCCTGTTTTTGCTGCCGAGGTAAGCTGCGTATTGTCTCCGGATCTTGCAGGGTGACGTCAACGATCGGATCGGCATCGTCGCGACTAGCGGGTTCGGTTCCGGGTTCCGAATCTTCGTTCGTATGCGGATTGCTCACCATGAAGTGTCCCGAGTGAATACCTTCGTTACAGCGAGCTATTCTCTCTCTCTGTTCATCGTCGTGCCGACCCATTCTCACCCAAATACGATCCTGCGTCGTGCCGAGAGAGTTACAAGCTGCCATGTATGACGGGTTACGAGTGTATGCGCGTGGTCTGTTGTGATTAAACAGGTAAACAAGCGAGTGTTGTTTTCGAAAACAGCTGTAAAATGACGGCCGCCATGTTTTGACATGACATACTCGCCAGGTGGCAGCACCGACCACCATGAAGCGCCAAATTCGAGATGCGAATGTGCAGATGCCGCGTGTGCACAGGATGACCAGGATGGCAGTGGCAGGTGGCAGGTGGCAGGATGGCAGGTATATATGTATGGGAACTCAATAGAAATCACGCCTCTATTATATATGGATGATATCCTGGGAATTGGCAATTGGGAGACTATGACAAAAATGGCACAAGCGTGTACTATACTAGGCTGGCGGAAGAAAAATTACTGAAGAACGGAAGAAGACAAATATATTGGAAATAAAATTTGGAGGACCAAGCAGCAAAGGAAAACAGATTCCACTCGGAGATCAAATGATAAAAGGATGTAGGGAATATACATACTTAGGCGAGATTTTAAGTGAAAAAGGAGGATACAAAGAAATGATAAAATACAGAACAGATAAATGTCGATTTATGATAAGTGAAGTCATATCTATGGCTAATCAACAAAATTTTGGAAACTATGCGATGGAAGCACGGGTTAAACTTTACGAATGCACTGTAGTACCGTCACTACTAAATAATAGTGAAACTTGGACCAATCTCACTAAAGAAGAGAAAAAAATGGTAGAAAATTTCCAAAATGAATGTTTAAGAAGGATACTTCAAGCACACAGCAAAACACCACTAGAGGCTCTAAGAATAGAAATGGGAATAATTCCAATAATAGATAGAATAAGTTATAAAAAGTTAATGTTATTGCAATATATTATTAAGTTAGAAAACGATAGACTAAT